TATTTTTTAATAGAAATAAAATTGGTATAAGTTGGAATATGTTTATTATTTTCTACAGAAGAAAGGTATAAGTTCTATAATTTTCTGCAATAAGAAATACTCAAAAAAGCAATGTTTGTTAAACTGTTTTATATTAATAAAATAATATCAGAAATTGTTAAGATAAAGATAATATTAGTACATTTATAATCCTTAAAGGCATTTTGTTACAAGATCTTATATCATAACATTTTTATATCCAAAAGGGTTACAACTATTATTTTTTCTAAAACTACTATTTTGTGGAATATCCTACAGTCCAAGGTTTGAAGTGAAAGCAGTATCAAACATTTTGTTACAAAAACTGTTTAAATAGCTCTACTGGAAAATTACGTTATTTGAGTTCTAACTCTTCTTCCGCATGGTCGATATATCAATCAAGTCATAGGTATATAACCATAAATATAGAAAGCCTCACTATATGATGGTATGGACACATAGAAAGAATGTCCGAACAATACCCCAAAAAAATTCTTAAACTGTCACCAAAGGCAGAAGTCGAGGACGTAGGCCAATGTCGGGCTTAACTGGAAAACACATGTACTGCGAATAATGGCAGAAACGATTCTAATTGAACGAGATAGAGATGATCGACATTTGTATAGACACAATAAACATATCAGTACCTAGCAAGAAAAAGATACACTTTATATAAAATAAAAAGTTTCTATACATTGAAAAAGTTGTCTATAGAATTTTGTAATTACTGAATTATTAAAATATAAAATACAATATTTTTAAAATCGCATCCTCATGCTACTTAAAATACCTTAATTAAGTTAATTTTATGTAAATTATGAATCAAAACCCACAAATAAATTTATGCCCTGCTTTTTGTACTCTTCAATTAATCAAAACTGCAACAATTGCATTCAACACCTTCAAACAAAAAAGAAATAAATAAACCGCTGCGCGGTGATTCACTTTTCTTTTATAGCAACAATATTGATCTCCCATTCAGGATGCAAGATCTTTCACTTTCACTATTATAATAAAAACAATAAATAAAAACACTTACGTTTTCCTCTTCTACAAATGATTCCGGTTTAAGCACCTGAGACTGTAAATAGCCGAAATGTCAAATTAAGATTTTTATCAATGCCGGAATTTATTTTTAGTAAAGCCTAGTCGAGTAAACGTTGCCGTCTCTCGTGATATATTCTCACTCTTCCCTGGTTCGCAAACAACTGAGCGCATCGCATGGACGTCATCCGCGTCATCGCATGACCGCTAAATGGAATTTTCCACTAAAACCTCTAGCGCGGCATACATAAGAACTTGCAGGCAGGGACACACAAATAAAATTGCACCTGTTCTTGTCGAATGTATCTACCTGAACACCTACACCTACATAGTTACTTGGTTACTTATCTAGTGATATAAAAAAGGTAAATAACGGCAAAAACAAGCTTACCCATAATGTTGTTTACTGTTTTCCTGTATATCTTTTTAAAACGTAACAATTGTATTACAATTTATTCGAACAGAAAAAAAAATTACCATGTATTTCATAATACAAGTGTATAACTTTTGCTGTTAATTTAAATTTATTAAATTCACATAACTGTATACGGAATTGTATTTTTAAAAAGTTTCTTTCACATTTAATACATCCTCCTTACCTTACACATTGGCGGAGTATTTAACTGGATAGAAAGTGCAAGTTGACTTCTTGCAAGTTCTATATATACTCCTTCAAATTATTTAATAATACAAACAAAACATAATAACAATGAAAATTTGACATAAATGTACACGGAATTGTATTTTTAAAAGGTTCTTAAACATTTAACATACGTCATCCTTACCTTACACATTGGCGGAGTACTAACTGGTTAGAAAGTTGACTTGTTCTATATTTACTGCTTCAAATTATGTAATAACGAAAACAAAACATAATAAAATGAAAAACCAAGATAAGCCAAATAATGTAATGGAGTTGTCAGTTACCCCAGACAATATTTGAAAAAATCCTCGATTTCAGGAAAACATATATATATATATATATATATATATATATATATATATATATATATATATATATATATATATATTATTGTGATATTTCAAGTCTTGGTGCGCCAAGCAATTAATTAGCTAATTAATTAATTAATTAAAATTATTTAAATGATATGATTATGACTCTATCACACTTTTTAATTCTCTTATCTCAGGGTTAAATTCGTGCTTCAATATCTATGCTATTACATGTGAAAGGTAAGGTCCAAAGAATACCGGAATAATAAAAAACACATATGATATAACACTATATATTGAAATAAATATAATGAAATAATTCACACTCAAATGTTTTCAATAAACAAAATCTCATATAATGATTCTCAAAATTTTGTTCTACGTACGTGAACCTTCAAATTTAATGGTACAAACAATATTAATTGAAATCTCAAAATCCCAAATTATTCTAATTCTCCTAATCAAAATATTTATATCCTTTCTAAATTAAGTGTAAAAATTGTGTTATCAATAAAAGAAAAACTGCAGAAAACAAAAATATCTCTCTCTGATGATGAGTATTCCAAATCCTTGTTCCTTGTAGACTATATTATCTACTCTCAGGCGCTCCCTAGGTAATCAGCAATCTTACAACAAATTATTGCAAGTTTATTGTCCTTAATGATCTCCTTCAAATGCACGAATCGTTCAAATTATGCCAGCTTCTTCTCTCAATAAACTGAATCTCTCGTTGGCCTGAGTGAAAAATGACTCTTGGAATATCTTTTCTTTACGATAAACTGAATCTCTCGTTGGCCTGAACAGTGACTCTTGGAATATAAGTAGAAAAATATGACTTACAATCTTTTACTGGATCAGCTTCTGTCAGATACACTAACTACACGAAAAACTCACAAACTTTCACTGCTACTGCTTCCTACCTCTGGGAAACTACCCGAGAAACAACGGCCTTTCGACTTGCACCCTTGGAAACCAACTGACTATCTTTTCTCCCTCAAAAATCTAGCTAAACTTTCATTCCTACATACCTATCCCACCTTTTTCAATCTCCGCCAATCAAAGCTCGTCACAATTCCCCCATTTTTTCATTTCGATAAGAAACAAATTTTTACCTATAATTATAAAAATTTCCTAAAACTTATTTACAAATAATATTTTTCTACAATTCTTAAAAACTAAAAAAACCTCTTTCTAAAATCTATTATATTGTCCTTAATCACTGCATTAATGTATTTGGAAAACCCGGTTCAATTGTCTTTGGATTTCACTTAAAATTATGCGGGTCACTCAAGTATAGTATAACAAAGAAAATAATTTATGCATAGCTTACATTTTGTTTAATACAGGTAATCCAAAAATTTAAAAACTTTCCTTCTTCGAAATGTTTGTTGGTTATTATCCTACTTATCTGAATTATTTTAATGTTTTTGAACTTTGAAATATTTTAATCAAACCAATATTTTTCTCGATTTTACATATCATAACAATATATATATATATATATATATATATATATATATATATATATATATATATATATATATATATAATATATATACTAATTTTGTTGCTAATTCAGTTGAACATAAGGACCAGGTTGACGCTATGTACACAGACTTCTCTAAAACCGTCGATAGAGTTAACCATGATCTGTTTATTGCTAAACTATAAGGCTACGGATTTAGAGGTAAAATATTTGTGTGGATAAGTAGTAATGTGTCTGGTAAATGCCATTATGTAAACTATGGAAATTGTTTATCTCAGCGAGTATCTGTGACATCAGGAGTTTCTCAGGGGTCCCATATTAGGCCTCTCTTATTTAATATATTTGTTAATGATATATCATCAGTCATTAATAGTAGTAACTTTTTGACGTTTGCATTATCATCATCACGTAGCGCTACAAGCCTGGGTGGGTTTTGGCTAACTGTACAACTTTTTTTAATTTGTTTGGTCTTCCATCAACCTAGGGTCAAATGGAATGTTCATTTTCCGGAGATCTGCTTGGATGTTATCTCTCCATCGCATTCTGGGACGTCCGAATGGTCTTTTGCCTGTGGGAATCTCCTCCCATACCAGTTTTACAAGTCTCTCGTTATGCAGTTTGCTAACGACCTTAAAATATTTTGAATAGTTAATAACCTAGTTGATGCCTCTTTATTACAATATCATATTAATAAAACTTCAACTAAAGCTTTAAAAATGTTTGGATTTATTCTTAGAAATTGTAATCAATTTCAGTACAAACTTTAAAAATGTTATATTTTAGTTTAGTTCGATCGGTTTTGGAGTACGGTTCTCTCATTTGGTCTCTTTCATATAATAGTAACATCTACAATATCGAGAGTTTAAAATTAATTTTTGAGGATATGTACTTACAAGATTGGTTTCATTAGACAGCAATACGCATATAATATAGGTTCAATACTTAATATCTCGTCACTACATCATAAGAGTTTTGATGCAGATTTATGTTTCGTTCATAAGATTATTAATGGATATAATGAAGATCCAGAGTTACTAAGCTTAATAGTTTTAATGTTAATACTAGAAGAACTCGTAATACTGAGATGTTTAACATTCCGTTTCATACTACAGACTATGGTCAAAATGAATCCATTACAATAATTCTAACAACTGCAAATGAGCACAGCAAGAGTTATTTGGAATACTTACAACAATATTTGAGAAATCAGTTAAGGTTTTGAGTAGGATTACCCAATAAATTAGGTTCCTAATTTAATTTTAATTGTAGTTTTTTTTTTAACGCAACTTATGCTTTGGACAGGTTGACATTATATTTTTGTAAAAATGGTAAATCCGTAAATAAATATCAAACATCAAAAATTAACTTATTTTAAACTAAAAATGTCTTATTCTCAATAAAAATAGTAAATTGCACCAGTAATAAGTTCATTCTTACCTCTTTTATCATCTTTACCGCCTTCAGTGCCTGTGAAAGAAAAAGGAGTAAAAGGAGAAACTAAAAATAAATAAAAATTTTAATCGTCATTTAGATATAAACTATATACAGTTAGATTTGAAACATGAGATTCCGTTAAGATATTTATATAATTTATCATTCTATGCCAATACCTTCCCTGACAGCTTCTCCCAAATTCTGTATATTCTCGGAAAAGTTCCTAACCAAGTGAGTATGATACGGAACTAACTGGCTATCGCACATAAGTCCAAGCTTTACGTGATCAGAATATTCATTTAAACATAATGAAATGCCTAAAATAAAAATGGTGTTAACAATTAAATATTTTATTTCTTCATATCATAGAATTTGAATAAAATTTGAATTAACTAATAAGTTTATCTGGGGAACTTTGCAACTTGAAAATAACCAGGGGTTTAAATGACTACCTTACTATGTCGAGTATGTTTGTTTAATACGTAAAGAGCGCGAAATATAGTTCTATTAACTGAGAAATGCGAATTCTATTTCTGTAGGAAGTTTGTAGGAGAGAAATGTCTGTAGGAGAAAATTAGCTCTTTATAGTAATTTTAATCGGAGAGAGATTTTTTTATGACATTTTTATGGCTTGTAGTTTTGTAAATTCAAAGCTTTAACGACTAGCTATTAAAAAAACCTTTTAGTAAAAATAGACTTATAAAAAATACAGGTGTATGGTTCGAATTGTTTTTTAATAAAACGACAAAATAAAACCTTACCTAGATTAGTGACTACTAAAATTGGCACTTTGGATATTGTGTAAATAAAAAAAGTCTACTTTAGGCAGGTATGAAGAACGGTCGGGAAAGATTTATGTTGTTTGTTTTGTATCAATAATGGTACGTCGGATGGGCACCACAGAGATATTATGTAAATAATCTTTTGTTATAATGGATATGAAAGGGCCTGTGATTTATGACCTGAACAACGTTTAACAAAATCTCTACATTTTTTGTGGTAAGAAAATGTATTAAAGGGAATTATTGCACAGAGGCGTACTCTGTACTATTAAATAAGCTAAATATATAAAATAAAGATAAATAATACATTGTTACAGGCTGTAACAATAAAGTTTGTAAAGAAGATTACAATTATTTCTTCAAACAAGAAATCCTACAAAATTAAAAAAGAGATACAAGAAAACACCAAAAACGATCCAGAAATGCTCAGAAGAAGGAATTTTAAGATAACAGTACCAACATGTAACAGGTAAATGAAGAAGGATAGGAAATAAATACATAACAAGAGTTACATAACAACAACTAACACACTGAGATCTATTCTTTCCAAAACCAAATTCAATAACACATAAGATTAATTAAAATTTGAGGGTATAGTTTCAAAGTGTACAATCTCCATATTTCAGAAAAAATGAGGTAGATGTCGCATTACGTTGAGTTTCTAGTTCTGAATCGAAACAATAAAAAAACTCTTTTCAAAATAGTCATTCTCCAAAAATTTTGAGGGCAGAAATTAGACTTTAATTCAAAACGTACAATCTCTAATGACATTTAATTTTCAAACCGTACAATCTGCTATCCAATATTTAAAATCAAAGAGTACAATCTCCAATGGGTTTTTCTTGTTTATATTGGCGAATATTTCAGAGCGTGCAATATCCTGTTCGGACTTGTCAACAAATCTCGCGCTAAAAGCGTTGTGTTTTACATTATATGTTAGTGTTAGTTGCATGTGATTTGTGAAGCAGCACAGTTTGTTTATTAAAGTAGTATCATATTTTTTCGAATTCTTAAAATAATAAATCGTGTAATGGAGGTAAATGGTACTCCTGTAGCTAGTAATAAAGTACGAAAATGACAACGTATTACCACATCATGGAAAAGAATTCAGCAAAAAAAATTGAGGTAAGTTGCATCAAAGGATTTTGTATATTTCGAAACTATTTTCGATTGTTGTAATTAGATGTCGCTATTGCGTCCGTATTGAAGCCATGTTATTGTTGCTTCTTAAAAGGCAGAAAATATTGATTTTTCACGTTGAGAAGCCCTATGAATAGCTCTTCTGACGAGACCTATTAGGTCGAAATACGTATCAAGAGATACATAGGATTTGTTTTGCGTGAAATCAAATATTTGCTGCCTTTTCTCATTTGATTTTGCATATCTTTGTATAAACATGGATTTTATTTTAGGTATAGTCCACATTCGCTCCCAATTTATCCGAAATATGGACACAAAAGTGGTGCTTTTCAATGTACGTTACTACAAATGAACGAAATAATACGTTTCCACTCTAAATTTTATGGGACGAAGGAGAAAACATTTCAAGATAATTTTCTGTTGAAATATTGCAAAACAGTTCCAATACAGCGTAAACGCCCAAAAAATTCGCAACATGTTGCAAAAACATTTCAAACACGATTTTATATTCTGACTAACGACAACAGAATGTTGGCTGTGTGTAAGAAAGCTTTCATGGAAGTTTTTGGTATAACAAGGAGACGAATTGATACAGTCACAAAAAATTTCTATAGAACTTCCCTTCCTGCAATGTAAAATCGAGGTGGCGATAGAAAGCTGGAAAAGTACATGTTGAAAAAAAGTGCTGTTATGGATTTTATTAACAAATTCCGCGTAATTGAATCTCATGATTGCCGGGGACAAAACCAACGGTTATATCTGGATTCTTCTTTGAATATAAAGTCGATGTGGAAAATGTACTTAAAAGAAAATGAAAACCTTCCAGTAAAAAAACCTATTTCAGGAAAATTTTTAATACACAATATAACCTTGGTTTTGGTTCTCCTAGAACCGATGCATGTTCGACATGCTTACAATTGACTGAGAAAATAAAGGCGTGCCATGATAACGACATGAAAGCCAACTTAATCATCCAAAAAAGGATACATACGTTGAGGTCAAAAGCATTTTATACCCTTTTAAAAGAACGGGATGAAGGTATAGAAACGTTTTCTTTTAACTGTCAGAAAAATCACGTTTTGCCTAAGATTACGGATCAACAGGCGTATTATTTACGTCAATTTTATATGTACAATTTTACCGTTGTCAGAAGAACTTCCAAAAGTAGTTTAAATCCATCTAATGTCACTTCTTTCTGTTGGACCGAAAACGAGTACAAGAAGGGTTCGGCGAGGTTGCCTCCTGCATTTATTACATTCTTGAATCGGCTAATTTTGGAGACGATATTCATACTATCAGGCTCATGTGCGATGGATGCGGAGGCCAAAACGAAACCACGACACTCATATCTATGTGTTGTTATTGGTTTTCTAGACAAGATAAAATTAGAAAAATTGAAGTAATATTCCCAGTGAGAGGACGTTCTTTCATGCCTCCAGACCTGGTTTTTGAGAATATCGAAAAGGATATTAAAAAAAGTTTTTAAAACCACATGAATATCTGGAGATATTTTCAAAGTATAGTACTGTTCATTGGGTTGGAGATTTATTAGAAACATATGACTGGAAAAATGAAACAAGCAAGCAAGACAATGGCATTTTGCTTTCTCAAAAATGAAGAGGATTATTTTAACTAAAAGCTCTCAAGGCACAGTATTAGTCCGCGGTGAGTTAGCTTATAAGACGGATGTTGGTGTTGGAAAATCAATAACAAAAAAAACTAAGAACATTGAAAGAATGAAACCTGCCAAAATTCCGAAACCTAATGTCGTGGTCAATAATAGCAAAAAGGTTGATGTTAATAATTTATTATGTTTCTATTTTGGAGATGACTGGAAAAGTGATTCCCGTTTAAGTTTTTACAAATTTGTAAATGCAACAATTTTATCTGGGGAAAACTTCAGGGCCACTAAGTATCAGAATAAATAAGCATAAATCATACATTAAAGACATATAATGTGAGAGATTTCAGATATGCAAACATGCACATCTCAACTGAATGATTTGGACACCAACGACATGTGGCTTTAACAAGATTTAGCTACGTGCCACACAGCTCTGCCACATTGGACATTGTGCATGAGCTAATTGAGGGCGTGTTTATCTTATGTGAAGGTGATATGAACTGACCATGAGATCTAGCGATTTGATCCCGATTCGAGTCTTTTTTGGGAGGTTTTTGTAGAAGTTTTAGGTCTATGTGACCATAAAACCATACTAGCGACCCCCAATGCTAATTTAACGTATACCATCGATCAGATCTAGCCTGCATTTTGCGTCAGCCATGGAAAATTGGACATTTTGCGTATGCGTGCCACCCAGCGAAACTGCTGCAGACATTGAACGATGTTATATTCTATACATAACGGCATCGAGTGATCTTTCAAATGAATAAAAAATTCCAATAATATCTCACACTTACTTTGTTTTATTTAAATTTAAAGATAGTGTCATATTAAAAAACCGTAAACATATTTATTCATTCATGAATTTTCTAGATCAAATACTACCGAATTCTCCAGAAGGGTCGAATAACTTCAGTACCAAGAATGCAGCCGGCGGCGCGACCCTCCGAATTTACCAGAAGGCGATCGACTTTTCTAGTCTAGCTGAATGAGTCACCTAATGGATGGAAGGTCATCGATGCATCACCAGACCCTTCTAGATAACGGCATTTCATATAAATAACAGTGATTCTCATTGAGGAGGGTTAGTAAGAAGATAAATTCGCGACGTGTATTTGAATGTAACGCACGTATAAAGGTAAATAATAATTATATAATTATTAAGTGTAAAATAAATTAGTAGTAATAAAGACTTTAATAAATTTGTGAGTATTATAAGTATATAACTTTAATTAAAAAAGAACAATAAATTAGAATTAATAAAGACTTACAATAGTAAGTCCAATGAGAGTATCACAATCAAATTTTAAAACTTCTGTAGCGATGCAAGCGCTTTCGGGAGATTTGTGATTTTTTAAACATATAAAATAGTTTATTAGCTTTGTGAGTATAATAAAGAGTTTAATAAAGGTAGAAATGAAAACATATCAGTAGAAAACCAGCAAATTCGCTGTCAATACGGTTGCTAAAAACTTAAATATTCATCGAGTTGTGGTAATGAAGTATGAAATTTTCTATTGTCACGAGGCATTATCATTAGTTTTATTTTTCATAATTATATATAATTACTATTTACCTATTAAATACTAATTATTATGATAATTATTATTCAATAATTTTATTGTTTTCCTGTTTATTTACAAAAACTCGCTTTAACCTAATAAGGTTTTTAGCGGAGCGGTAACAACTAATTATTCTTTGCTTAGTAAATTAAAGTCTTTTAAAAACGAAAGTAGTTTCTCGATAATGTTATTTGAATTCAAAATGTTTTTATACTGCAGTCGTCAGGTCGAGAATGCCATTAAATCTCCAAAAAATCATACGAACAAGCTGAATTTTGCTGAGAATGTCTCAATTTTGCAACCTCAAAAAATAAGCAAAAAGGTTTACCATTTCTACCCCTCAGCTTCTCCCTAAATCCTCCTCTCGTTGGAGGGGGCGGAAAAAATCGATTTACCAAAAATCTGTATGTCGTAGAAAAAAATGTTTCAAACAAGATTTCTAGCTGAGATAATTTTGAACAATAATGTTTATCAGCACTTTTTCTATAGAATGAAATGTATTCTCAGCAATTTTTTAAATAAAATTTGTATCAACTCAGCGGTAAAAATTTGATATCTTTTGATTAGAGTGTCGTATCGACAAAAATCAAAATGCGATTTGAAGGTGAAGAATGCACCTTTTGTATGCAATTTCTGTATTTGCCAAAAATAAACTGAGTTTTTATAAAGGTGATAAATAAATTAACGTTGCACGATTTTCGCAATTTTTTTCGATTCTCATGAGATCAATAAAATGTATCACTTCCATTATCTGGTCACTATAGAATTTCCATTGCTAAAGCCGAATCTTCAAAGCCTAGAGCATGAAATTTCGGTTTTGAGTTTTGGCAACAAATGCGAGGCATAGAACGTTTTTCAAAAGTAAAATAAGTAAAGTTTAGTGGAGGTATTTCTCGTGACGTGCGATCGGCTATAGTGTGAAGGTTTAAATTCAGCATTTTTAAGCATACAGTTTTTAGAGTAGGTTTTTGGTATCTCCACAGCCCCCAAGTAGTGTCTTCTTTGTATCGTTTAAAGCAGAGTTTCCAAAACTTATCTAAACCGCGACCCCTTTTTGCTAAAAAATTTGTTCGCGACCCCCAATTTCCCCCACTCATTTATTCAATATTATTTGACAGAAATAGCGTCGAAATTATAAGGCAACTTCGAATAAAACATGAAAAGAAAATGCCGATGTTTAAAATAATAAACAACTCTAAAATGGTTTATATTAACATCCATCAATGCAAATAAAATGATTGAAAACACTTTTGGGTATTTTAACTTGAAAGATACGAACTAACAAAAATGGAAAAATTCTTCGTTTTTTGTAAACATATATGAAGGGATTTCAATATATTACATATACGAAGGAATTTCAATATTCCCCCAAAATAATCAATGAATTGCAAATGATACAACCTTTTAGAATCTTCATAAACCTGTATAAGATTTTTTCAGCTTTTTTATATCAATAAAATAAAAAAAAAGATTTTAGTTATATTTATACTTACATGTGTTTGCTTGAGGAGGTCTGAGATAAATAACACTACTAACTTCTTGTCCCCAAATAGTCCTTTGTGTCACATTAGGATATCTACTGGTGATCTCAGCAACACTTACTGCATACTTTCTCGATAAGTATTTTAAATAGATACTTAATAGAGTTGCTGGCAAAAATTTACTTAAAAATCTAAACTTCGTCTGCAACATCGTTAACAAGTGAGACAGTCCTTGGTTTTCTAGCGACGCATTAAATTTGTTTCTTATTTCTAACAGATTTTCTATTTCTGTGGTACCCTTCTTTGGATCAGGAATCGTTAAACTAAGACAGAGTATTCCACTAACAGCGTCTTCCGGCCTAATATTTGGCCCAGTAGCAAATATGTAGTTTGAAGAGATGTTTCTAATCGTGATTGGTAATTTGGTTGGAATATAATGGTTGGTTTGAACAAAATATTTAGAAAGACACATCGATACTGCCGATAACATTATTTCAGTTTCTGAAACTCCCGCTTGTTTTGCAACGGCTTTGATTGTTTCGGTTTTGATGGCTTCTGACCAAGCTACGGATTTCCTACCACATAGAGTAAAAGTTTCAAATGATTCATCTTGTAAGAGAATATCTTGGATTATGGTTTTCGGTGCTTTAAACAAAATTGTAGCTATATATGCAAACTCTTTTAAAGAATTATAAAATAAAGGAATAAATGTATATAATATCCCCACGGTGGTACGGGGATAAGGGCAGTAATTCAGAGCTAAACAAGTACAAAAAGCACGACATTCTGCAAAGAGAACTATGGGTAGTCGAATAGGGAGTTTCAATAAAAGATAAAACAGAAATTGTACTAAATTTGTTAATAAATTTCTTGGATCTAAAGATTTAACCACAGATAGACATAACGTTTTTGGGCCAATTTGTCTTTTATCTGTTTCTTTAAGCACAGACTGGACTAGATATTTGAATTTTGAAAAAGCATCAGGTTTGATTACCCTAAAGCCTTTTCTACAGTCTCTAATAACAGAGACAAAACTTAGCAGGCAGTATGATACGAATTGAAAAAAAGTTGGTGTACTTTTAAGTAACTCTGGCCGTTCTAATGGATCATAATTTGCTACAAACTCATTCCAACGATTGGATAATTCTTCTGTCAATCTATCTTTTAATACCAGTATAACTTCAGGTTTTTTAAAAACTTCCACTAGAGGGCTTCTCGATACATATGACCTAAATAAAATAAATGATCGATAAAATTGAGATAAATAATTTTTTGTTATACAGTTCATGTAAATATAAGTAAAACAATGTATTTTGTGCAACATTTTAAAATTTAAATCGCTTATAATTAGTTCACTTGCATTCTAGACTTATAAGCGGCTAGACTGTAACCAAGACGTTCCAAGAAACTTTCACTTCGGTCCCGGACAGAAAATGTCAGTCCACATATTCAGAACTAGCCCGGAAGAGTACTTTAACCAATCCCTGCTGTTTAACCGTTTCTTCTTCAAGTTATATAGATAACGCTAGAAGATCCAAGAAAATTCTTCAGAATTTATCAACGCCAAATGGGTCTTATACCCATTAAATCCATACAAATAAAGAAGTACTGGAGAGGGTTGGTAAAGAAACAGAACTAATCACCACTATACAAACCAGAAAACTGGAATACCTAGGCCACGTGATGAGGGGACCAAAATATGAAATTTTGAGACTGATAATACAGGGAAAGATTCAAGGAAGAAGATCTGTTGGCCGAAGGCAGAACTCATGGTTAAAGAATCTACGTGATTGGTACCAATGCAGATCGATTGATTTGTTTAGAGCAGCAAGTTCTAAAATAAGAATAGCCATTATGATTGCCAACCTCCGTAGGGAGACGGCACTCTAAGAAGAAGAAATGGGTCTTCTTCTTAACGTGCCCTATCAAGTCCCCTTGACGTTGGCGATTAACATGGCGAAACTGTCTCTGTCACGAGCTATTCTAAATAGTTGCTCAGCTTTCTTTATTCCTGTCCACTCCCTGATATTCTTCAATCATGAGGCCTGCTTTCTACCAATTCCTCTGCGTCCTTCGATTTTACCCATCATAATAAGTTGAAGAATATTATATCGGTCTCCCCTTACTACGTGTCCAAAATCGGCCATCTTTCTACATTTGATGTTATCAAGCAGCTCGCAAGCAGCATTTGCTCTCTCAAGGACTGCCACATTTGTCAGCATAGCCGTCCATGGAATTTTTAGTATACGTCTGTGCAGCCACATCTCAAAGGCCTCCAGACGATTAATCGTGGATATTTTTAATGTCCATGCTTCGACACCGTATAAGAGGACTTACCAAATGTAGCATTTAACCATGCGCTTTCGAAGTTAAAGTTGCAAGTTATCATTACAGAAGAATGACCTCATTTTTAAAAATGTCGTGCAGGCTATCTCGATTCTACATTTTATCTCTTGATCTGGATCTAGTTGTTCAGTAATATGGCAACCAAGATATTTAAAACTGGACACTCTTTGAATTATATAGGTTATAGCCAAATGGGTACTAGCCTAAAATTAACCTACCTGGCCTTCCTGGGAGACAGTACATGACAACATCAAAGCCCTCTCCCTAGTAAATACCAGACTTGCTCTTGTTCAGCGATTCTTTAGGTTCAAACAACTCAAGCAACCCACCACCCGAGAGACAGTAATTGAAATAAGGGTAACGAATAACCTTCCTGTCAATAGAAGCCGTAAATGTTCCTCTTCCAAGAAAAAGATCATCTTCCATGATAAACTACCAAAAAAGTAACAGCATCAAGTCTCCTTCTTTCTTTTCATACATGATGCCATCAAAGAATTGGACACCGCAAAGATCTTCCGTATATTGAACGTTAAAAGTAGATTCTGACAGATTCTATCTATCTGTACAGCCCTTGCTGTTCAATTTTGGACATAGGCCTCCTCTTAATTCTTCCACGTCTCTCTATTGTAGGCATTTTGTATCCACTTGGTATCCACTTGGGGATCTGTGTGTTTCTTCAAGTCATCTGACCATCTCATTTGTGACCTTCCTTTTTTCGTATGGAAAGTACCCAGACAATACCAATTATTCTCTCTACCATTGAAGTCATTCCGAAGAACCACCTAGGAAATATAAAAAAGCTAGGTCTGAATGAACATCTTTACAAGACCATGCAGAAAACTGTATTACTCTCAACGTCCAGATGTGTACGAAAATGTTTGGGAGATACTCCAGCGTACCAAGTCACCTAGAGCTCGATTGCATGGAAATAATTCCACCAGAGCTCAATTTTTTTGATACCGTAGGTATCTGGGATGATAGAATTTTCCCTTTAGAGGGAGTGTGAGCCGTATGGCTTAATCTGAAAATAATTTTTAAAATCTTAAAATGTGTACCGATCTCAAGATGCTAACATGTAAACACAAGTAGTATTCCCTCCTGCAACGTTGCCATTTACTTGGATTAATCCTAAATCCCTTAACGCACTGTATAATAAAAATCTAAATAATAAATATTACACTTACCCAACTGGTGGCCGAGTTGGAGGTATTAAAGGTAGCAAGTCTCCAATGTTTAGGCCTTCAGAAAGGAGTATGTGGTGAAGTCTGAATAGAATATAATGTTGGTCTTCTGAAGAAGGTATTATTGTTATTTGCCAGGGGGGAATATTTCCAGGGAGATATTTCGAAACAATTTCGTTCACATAATCCTGAAAAGGGATACCTGTTACAAAAATATTAACACTGTGTTGAGGGAAAACTTTAAAGTTGTTGAGGAAAAGATTTAGAAGAATATGTTCGTTTAATTTAAAATTTGAATCATAATTGAATAATGTAGTCAACTCAAACTATTTTAGATAAGCATTAATACAACAGTTTGTATGACTGGACAGTGAAGGAGTTTCCTGTCCCAAATGTTGCAGTAATTTTAATAAACTAACCTTCTTCTTCTTCCTCCTTAATGTATGTAGACTTTAAAGTCTGTTTCTTCATCAATATTAACTTTATTGTTTAAATTATCGCACCAATTTCTTGGTCTGCCAATACTTCTTCGTCCATTTGGTGACTTATCTCGTGCTTTTCGTACTATTCTATCCTCTGTCATTCTAGTAATATGTTCGTTCCACTCCTGTTTCCGTTTTGTCACCCATCCATTTATACTGTACAATGGCATGTATGGAGTATATATTTCTGATTGAGTCAATGGCGGAGAGTGAATCGGTGCATATTGCTAATGATTTCTCATTAGCAATGGGCGAGTCTAATGCCTTGAGTATTCCATACAGTTCGGTTGTGTGTATACTGCATCTGGGAGAAAGCCGATGTGACGCTACTATTGTGTTTAAGGTACTGACGGCACAACCGATGGCCTGTTCTTATTTGGAGGCATCTGTTTAGAGAATTTTGTCATAACGCTGTGTCTATATAAGTTCCTCAAATGCTTGTACCAAGAGAGACCTACTTTCTTTATTTTGTGTCGGTTCAAGCTGGTAAGGGCAGTAGGTAGCTTTTTGGTCGATGGGGGAATTCTGGACGTAGTAAACGGAGTTCTGAGTTTTAGGTCTGTGTATTTTAGCAAAGTTTTTAAAATTTGTCAGAGAGAATGTGCTCCAGAGTGACTATTATCTGGGACAGGGTGGGAAGTATTAATTAGTTTAATTACTGGGTTTTTTGGATTATCAGAAATTCTAGAGAAGTAAGACAGAAGTAACGTGTCGTCTTATAAAAAGTGGAGGTTCTGAAAATTCGATAATAAAACTTTCAAAAGGACTTGATTTAAAGGCGCCGTGGCTAATGCGTACAGAGGTGTTGTGAATTGTATTCAGACTTTTAAGGTGAGTATTGGAAGCTAGAAAATGCTTCCCGTAATCCAACCTAGAGCGGATCAATGTTCTGTCAATTCTTAAGAGGACTTTCTCTTCTGCCCCCCATTGATGGTGAGCTAGAGTTTTTTAAGATATTGATTCTATTTAGGCAGTTTGTTTTCGTATTCTGTATCTAATCTCTCCATGTAAGTCTTTTATCGAATATTATTCCTAATAATTTGTGTTTATCAACCACTTGAAGAGGAGATCCATTTAGGTGAATTAGAGGAGGGTGAGTGTGGTGTCTTCTAGAGAAGTTTATGACTTTAGATTTTCCAGATGAAAATTTGACTCCAATTTTAGTGGACCAGTTATGAAGATTGTTAAGAGTGTTTTGGAGTAAAGAGCATGTGCTCCTTGTTATTTTACCTTGGCAATAAAGAACAAGATCATCTGCGAAATACACAGAGTTGCTACTAATAATTTTAAGCTTACTTACTTGTATGTTATATTCTGTCACAGCTCTTCCTTTGTAAGTAAAAGGAACGACTGTTAAATGCTGATCCAAATTGAACTTCGAGTTTTGCCAGGCATAAGATCCACATTTGGTAACCAAACAATGACGAAGTCTTAAAAATGTTAAATTTCCAGTTTTATCTCTGCGACGAACTACTTCCTAGAAATTTTTATATAGTAAATGTAATAAATCGTTAGTGATTATAACTAATTCGCTGCTTTAGTAATAATTATATAATTGTATAATTAATTATTACTGAAGGTAAAGGTGAAAATTAGAACATTGAGACAATGACTTTCCTAAATAGATCAATCATGTTAGTCAAAAATAAACCTGGTATTATTTATAAATAACGATTTTTTACCTAATAATGTGTATAAATAACATTGATTTAATATAATCACATTCTCAATAAATAAAGAAATAAATAAAGATATCAATAAAAAGGCGACTTAAGAAAAAAATTGTAGGTACATCTCATAGTTATTTTTGTTTTGGATACTTTTCAACCGAATTGTCCCATCTTTTGCACAAAATTCAAACAAACATAAGACCCTCAAATCAAATGTACCTATGTTAACGTCAAATTTCTAAATAGACAAGTCTTTAAGTTATAAGCGGAATAATTAAGGTCGATTCAGACACATCAGTCACGTCTCGTCACAGTCCTGGCGCCGAACCGAACAATCCGTCATACAAAATATTCTTTAATAGAAATATAGCGCCGGCATTCACATTCATCAGTTGACGAACAGTTTGCCAGCAGTCAGATAGTTGATAGTTCTGTGACCAAACAGGACCGGTTCGGTGGCGAGACTGTGACGGGACTGATGTGTCTGAATCGACCTTTAGTTTTACGTGTTGATTGTTTATTTAAAAATATTTCAACTAAAAAATTGATAAATCAATTCTGTGCCCTAGATGAAAGTCTTTTGTAATATCTCTTTTACGTTTGAACTGTCAAATTCGTCTATAAAGTTGTGTTGAGTAAAAAACTAACTTAATTGGCCTAAAAACAATTTTTCAAATCAATATGAAAAGCATGTTAATTTTCATAAATTCAATAGTGCTACTACATGTTATGCAACCAATTAGGCAGCTAAGGCGAAGGATACGTGTAGTAGGTCACAGGAATAACCTTTTTCTCATAATTCTGACCTACATTTATTTTTTTAAGGGGTACGAGGTTATAGGGCAAAAACCTATATATTTACTGCGTTGAATTAAATGGAGGTTGTTAGTTAACAAAGTCGAAAAATTCGAGTTTTTGCTATTTTTTATATATTGGTAAAAAGTTAACTATATAAACATCATCCAAGTCTATGCTCCCATTGCAAAGAGGAGGAAGAAGTAATTGAATTATATCAGAACATCAACAGTATCATACAGAAAATTCCTTGACAGGAAGTTCTGATCATTATGGGCGATTTTAATGCCAAGATTGGAGCTGCAGATAGAACTCAGTGAACAAATCCCCTTCGTTGGCTCAGTGGAGATGTTCGTTCAGTTGTAATGGAGACACCAAATAATAGTAATAGCAGAGTTTATTGATGAGACGTACACTATGGGTGTTGACCCGGGATTACTTTGAGTAGAGACTGTTGCAGTTGATCGCTGAAGACTATCAAGTTTGTTGAAGGCGAGACAATCTTGGAGCAAGTGCTTGTTTACTTAAAGAGATGAGACTTGAAGATGTAGAAGGTTATAGAAACCATTTAAGAATGCTTCCTAAATTTTAAAAACTAAATGCTAAATTTGATGAACTGCTTGGAAAAATTAAGTGCAATATTAAAAAAATCCATATGAGAGATACTATTCTAGCAAGGACTAAATAACTCTTGAAAATATCTGTTAGATTTTTGGCTACTGGCGATTCATATAAATCTCTGAAGGCATTGCATAGAGTAGGAAATTTAATTTGTTATGTAAGCATTGTCATGAGCTATTTGATTGTTATATGGAGATGATTTAGAATTCCAAAGACGCTCCAATTCTCTATAGGTATATAGAAATAAATTTGATGGTTTTTTCATCACCCCAACGAAACCTTTTTTTAAATTAACAAGTTTAAAAATAAACCGATTAAAATCTGACAATTCTGTGCTAGCTACTGGCATGCCCGTAGCTGAAGCGCGCGTTCACACATGCCAGTGACACTCCCCATGCATCAAATTCTTTGCGATTAGCTAGCATGCCAGGAAGTAGCATGCCAGTTAAGGTACACACTTGCCAGTTTGGGGACAGTAGCTGGTGCTTGCTAGGTACTATAGTTTATTTTTATGAACGAGAGAGTAATTAGCATAATTTTAACTGGTATCTCCGACCACTCCATGGGCGTGCTCAAGATTAATTGAAAAATTACTTTGAATAATTGTAAAAAATAAATGAATTATTTCAGTGTTATAAAGTGTTATGTGTATTTAAACAAAAGTGACTTCTTTTATCACACACTAGATTAGAACTGACTGGCCTACATTAAAAAGGGTTTTGAAAAATTCACATTTTTTTTAATTTTTAAAAATTACAAAAGAGAAAAAGAGTTTTTAAAACCGTCTAAGGTATGTTAAATAGATGAATAAAAATATTAATATAAAACTTACAGCTACTTGTTACAAATCCAAATCAGATTCAGAAGATGAACTTTCAGAACCAAGATTTATAATAACTGGCTCGATCATTTTATCAGTAATATTGTCCAGCTTCCACATTTTTTCCTCTTCTTTAATAGTGTGATTTACTGCCTTTTCCCAGTTTTCAGGTTTTACATTATTTACGGCCTCCAAAAACAACTGTTTAACATCATGAATTTTAAAAGTGGTATTTTTTCTTGAAACTTCACTCTTTATCTGTGCCCATACCAGTTCAATCGGGTTTAATTCACAATGATATGGTGGGGATCTAAGTACTGTCATTCCACGATTTTTGGCAATTTCATAAATTTCGTATTTTTTAAATTTTTCTTTATGAAGGGCACACAACGAATAAAGTTCCTTTCTTATAGATCCGGATGGTACGAAATATTTTTTGAACTCAGCCAATTCTGCAAGTCTTTTTTTAACCACTTGGTTGTGGGCAGTCCTTCTATAAGTCTGGAGTGATAACTTGCATTATCCATTACTATTACACAGTTCTTAGGAAGAAGATCTATCATTTGTTCGAACCATTCTTGAAAGACATCAGCGTTCATGTCTTCATGGTAGTCACCGGTACGAGTTGATTCAAAAGTTAATAAACCACCTTCAACAAAACCGTCTGAACTGCCAATGTGTACTATTATCAGCCTGCGTCCCTTTCCTGATGGTGGGTTTAAACCAGTAGATAAGTTATTTACAAAAGCGTGTCTTTGACTTGTAACAGTTTCATCTCTGCCAAAATTTATTTGGTGTATGACCCTCGTTGATCCATGTTTCATCAAGATAAAATATTTTTCTTTTTTGGTTTCTCATTTCCTTTATGGTTCTTAGAAAATGTCTTCTCAATATGACAATATCGCTTCTTTCTAATAAAATAGACTTTCTGGGATTCTTTTTCAGCGGAAGCCTATTTCATTTAAAAGTTTCCATAACGTACTTCGACTCATTTCTGGGTAATCCTTATCATCTCGAACTGAGACAAGAACTTTATCCAATGTTGGAAATTCTTGTCTAAAGAAGAATTCATGCACTTTCCGTCGAAGTCCTTCTTTAAAATGATATTCTATTTGAAATTTTGGTTTCCCTGGAGCATTACGTGGTATTTGAAAACTACTACATTTCTCTTCTTTAATAACTCTGTAAATCGTAGATTTCCCAACACCAAGTGTACTGCTAACTAACTCAACGGTCTCATCAACACTTTCACATAAACGTATGTCTGTAAATGATTTAAAACAATTAAATATTAATGTTTTTTCATTAACTGTTAAAGGACCAATTTTTTCGGCGTTTACACGGCACTTCCAAATTTTCCATAACACTAGTATACACAATAAACTGCACCTTGCAACTGAAGTACCTACTTTTAGTGAACTGTTAAGAATTTTGAATACGCCACTTGGACCTTCCTACAAAATGGAAAAACCCACTATCACATTTTCTGTGGAATAAGTTTAGAAGGTAATTATCTAGTCAATTACTGTCGTAGATTCCTGGAATTAAAGAATTAAATGTTTGATTGTTGAAACCCTTACTTCGTGGAATGCACTCATTTCAGATAAAATAAAACGTTTTATTTTATCTAAAGAATTAAACTTTATTTTGCAAATAGGTAGGTACTTATTAAACTTTTATTGGTTATATATAACCAATAAAATAAACATCTTACATTTCTTGCAAATTCATTAGTACCTGTTAACCTCCATCACTCCGACACTGGCAACCTTATTTAGGGATTAGTAACCCTCACAACTATTGTATTCTATTCTGCTCCAACCTTTATACCTGGTGGTCATACTCAATTTAAAATTGTTTTCCTATATACTACTGTAAACTTGTTGACAAATATCTGTTTTTCATTGAGTCACCCGTATCAACAGTTTAGGGATTTGCATACATAATTTATTGTTTTTTTACTCTCTCATACATAAAAATACACTATAGTATGCAATTGTGCTAGTAACAGGCATGTGTACCTTCGGCTTTAGTGACAGCAATTAGAGACGAATCGAACGAAGAACAAATGATCGAATATATACAGAAATAGGAAATGTAAAGTGCACTTTTTATATATACTTTTGCCCCTCTCATATACTCTATTCAGATTCATTGTCCAATGTTCTGTATTATTAAATGTTTATTCTATAAATTTACTAATTACCTGTAGATGTCTTCGGACTGCTTCCGGTTGCGCTTGACCCTTTACACTTAAAAGAACACACACGATTCCCTGGTTCCGGTGCGTGTCTAACAGTGATCGCACAGTATCATATTTGATAAATTCTACATCGGGGTGCAGCATGGAAAGCACATTCATCCATAGTGCTTTATAGACTTTTAAAACTAAAACGAAATAAATTGATTTTTTACTATAGGTAATAGATTTTGACAAGAGCTATGACCTTGTAAATAACAGGTAAACTTGTGAACTGCATCTGCATGACTCATAGCTCTTGTCAAAATCCATTACCTCTACAGTCGACTGTCGTTAATTCGAAACTCGAGGGTATCTTAAAATATTACGAATTATTGAGTGTTTGAAATATCAAATGGTTCGAAATTTGTGAGAGAAAATAAATAAAACATCGAATTATTAAGCGTTGATTAATTATTATTTACTAACTACTATTATATAACGATGACAAAAGTTTAGTGGTACATTCACATTCGTGTACGTGTACATACATGTATGTATTTATAATTTGAATTATTCAATCTTTCGAAAGAACTGTATTATACTGGTTTGCTTCAAAGCACATTGGTGCTGCTCAGACTGCTCAATATTTTTTTAAGAGAAAAACTTCCTGAAATGGTTTTTCATCATTTTCGTTTTGTAGACAGAAGGTTTGTAAGGTATCGAATGAGGATCTTGCTTTCGTAACTGACACCTCTGCCAAAGGTTTTGATGTATCATACTCATCTTCATGATTACTTTTTTCATTCGTATCTGTCGCAGATCACATTTCGCCATCAGTTAGGGAACCTGTGACAGCAACATATTCATCAACTTAAACAAAGTCATAAAAACTCACACCGCTGATGTCAACTGGTTCTATTGCTGGTTCTTCGTCATCCATATAAGCATTGGAAGATTTTCCTAATCGTTTTTTACGAAATCGGATTTTTTAAAGCAGTTGAGAATTGTAAGGGGAGTTACACCTCTACATGCCTTGGTCCAACCGTTGCAATTTGGAAGTTGTATTTGGCGGAAAGAAGTAGAGTTCTAAGTTGGACAATGAAGGAGGACTATTGTGGACAGTGCAATTGTCTAAAAATAGTAAAATTTTCCACTTTTGCCATTTCATGTCCCCATTAACTGTTAAAAAGCTCTGTCGTCATCCAAACTTTTTTATTAACACGATAATCTGTAGGAAACGATTTCACACCTTTGAAACATATCGCCGGTTCATTGCTTTTCCTATCACTAAGGTTTAAGTTTTTGCAATCCGTCCATATTTGCTGAAAGTAAAACTGTCAACCTCTCCTCTACTATGTTTTCCCCCATGACATTTTTGATCTTTAAAAGTAAGCGTCTTGTCCGTAAGCATTTGAAAAATAGGCCAATTTAGCGTACCAATCTAAGAAAACTGCATTATCATACACTTCCACTTTCCACACAAACTTTTTAAACACAACTCTTCTTTTTAATCATTTCTCTTTTTAAAATTTGTAAGCCAGACTTCACTTGCCGCAAAGTTTTTGATGCTTAGAGTAGACGTGAACTCTTTTGCAGTTTCCTTCAACAAGTTTCCGATAAAAGACACTTTTTGTCCTCTACACTGTCTTAGCCAAATGACCAGACTTTCTTCCAGAAGAGGAAATTCAAATTTAGTAGTTCTTTTCCATACTTCAGCAGTTTTAGCAGCATTAATTTTCTCCTTGTACTTTATTATGATTGAGAGAGTACTCAGAGGAATCTTATATTCTTTTGCAACATCACTTTTCTTCTCACCTTCCTCTACTTTTTGGATTAACTTCTTTTTTTCAGCAATCGTCAAACATTTATTCTTTTAGGGCTCATGACTAACAAAATTTTAATCTGTTTACCAACGAAAGAGTAACAGTAACTAATAACTAAACAAACCAATTCGTGAGAAGTTTGTGTCAAATATGTAGTCAAATTAACCATATCAAAATACAAAGGCGCGTTGATACATACAATCTTCCCGCCTCTTTCTCTCTGCAACTTTGAATGGTCGAGTGTTAGACGCCGATGAGTTTGAATTAACGCGTCGTTTTGTTATATAGCAATGATTTTTTTCGTTAGAATTACCAAGTGCATAAAAATGTATTGATTTAGTTCGATATATAAAGAGATTTTGTGTAGGAACTCGTGATAACTTTAATTATAGAGGTTCGAATTATCGCAACTTAAATGTGGCGACTGCCCAAAAACTTACATTGGTCAAACGTGTAGAACCTTTAACAAACGTATAGCAGAACATAAAAGGGCTTTCAATAATGGGAAAACAGATTTTACATATGCACTTCACCTTCTAGATCATAATCATTCTTTTATGACGAATTTCAAATTCTTCACATCCAAAATAAAGGCCTGAAGCTATCCTTATTAGAATCTAATAAAGTTGAGCAATGTTTCTTAGCAAGTATATGATGTTTACTAAGGACCCTGTAGCAAATAAGGAACGATAAATAATCTTTGGAAATCATATCTTTCAACGTGTTGACACCTGGCTTTATTCCCTGTTCATCCCCAAATTTCATGAATTCTATACACAACTTGACGTGACTTCTTCGATGGTAATCGAGAGTCCTGTTTGTAATTCTGTGTCTTTATCTGCTTTTTAAATGCAAAATAGCTTTTTTAACTTTTTTGTGCATATAGAATAGGTCGTGTTTGTTGCAATGGCTGAGTTTCCACACATTGTTCTCCTAGCGGTGTATCCTTCTTCTACTTCTTCTAGTTTCATGACCGTTATCGATCTTTGGACATCATTTTGGCTACCATATTCGCTATCGTCGCTTTATTTGCTACAGGACCACGTTAATCTTGGATCTTTCCCTGAATGATCAGATGTAAAAGTTTATCCTGTGTATCCTTAGCTATTCTAATTGCTTTTTTGATCCCTTTGTCTGATCCTTATTTTCCCTTGTACATCTTGCGAAACTATATGCAACTTCTCTAGTTCCTGGTTGAATAAAGAATGTGTATAATATTCTGTATGAGAGTTTGAAGTTTTAGTAATGATAAACTCCTCTTCTGCTACAAATTTACCTAATCGGTCTCCTAGCTCATTTCTTTCTCCAAGCCCAAATTATCCTAAGAACTCTCTCGATTGTCCCCTACCAATATTGGCATTTAAATCACCCATAATCAAAGTTAAATCCTTTTTGGTAATTCTTGTTAAGGTGCTGGATAATTCATTATAGAATGTTTCACTTATGTTGTCTGGTTTGTGAACTGTAGGGACATATACCTGGATAATGTTAGTTGTAATTGGGTAGGTATTAAGTTGAAGGAGGAGAATTCTTTCCGATATGGGTACAAAGTTTTTAACGTGTCTGGCTCTGTTGTTCTTGATTTAAGATTATATCTATCGATGATGGTTAGGAAGAAGTAATCGAAAAAGACTATGTCCTAAAGTAGACATCGTTAATGTCGAAAAGAGTGTTAGACTAAATTGTATAAAGGAAATTGAAAAAGAGAATATGCTCCTAGTTTTGACCTTTAAGTATTTAACAACCATGATCTGAATGTTCGTCGTCTGTATCCATTGTAATCGCTTTGTTGCTTTGTTTAGAAAACATTCACGCATACAATATAAACAATTATTTAAGTAAACGATATCATACGTAATAATCGTAAACATTCTAAATCAACTTACCAAAAAACGTCAAAATCACTAAAGGCGAAATCAATATAACACCACCAAACAAAGATAAGTTCATCAAAAAGTTTAACATTGCGATTATTGTAATTTGTATTACAGGTACATGCACTGAACCATTATACTTCAAAATGAACTTTTTCGAATTATAAACGTAAATGACCAAATGAAATCACTATAAATAAATATTACCATTTATTCTTATCACGAAATGTGACCTTTTGATCCCCAAGGATGAGTGCTATTTACAAGTTTTTGTCTTACCCGAGAATGTTAGTAATTACGATAATCGACTTTATTTGAACAGATTACACAGTTACGTTTGCCTAATTACCTAGCCTACGTCACTGTTCAATTTATTTACCTGTTGTACTTAGACTTGCTATACATACAATGATTTTATTTGAATAGGTAAATAAAAAAATTAAATGTTTATCCTTTTCTAGATAAAAGTTAATATTTATCAATTTAGAGGGCATCAAAAGATCAAAATGCTCATTCCTATTTGGTGAATACATGTGGTGTCTATAAAAATGAGAGTATTTTCATTTATGATAGATTTGCAACCAAAAAATTTTCTGATAAATTCAATTTCTGATCATCAAATTATTCACAAGGAAATATTGAAAAGTTTTTATTCCTATTATATATTCTTATTAAAACCTAGAGGTATCGATTGGGTTACAGTGGCGGCTTTTCTTTATGTGCTGCTGAGCTGCAGAACTACCAAACAACCATAGCAAATCTTAATTATTAAAGAATAATTAATATAGTTTTATTTCAAATCTGCCATATTATCATATTAAACATAAACTGTTAATAATAATTCACCAACAACGATGATTAATATTATTTTTTTTACGTATTTACTCCTCTAGTGAAACCGTATAATTTTTTTACGTATTTGGTGCTCCAGTCTTCTTCAAGTGCCATCTTCGTTCCGAAGGTTGGCGATCATCAGGGCTATACGTATTTTCGAAACTGCTGACCGAAACAATTCGTTGTTGCTACAACTATACCATTCCCGTAGATTCTTTAGCCAGGAGTTTCGTCTTCTTCCTATGGACCTTTTTCCTGCTATTTTCCCTTGCATAATTATTCGAAGCAGTTCATATCTTTCGCCTCTTGTAATGTGGCCCAAGTATTGCAGTTTTCGTTTTTTGATTGTAAATATGACTTCCTTTTCTTTGTTCATTCTTCTCAAGACCTCGACATTTGTGACTCTCTCGGTCCATGATATTCTCAGGATTCTGCGATACATCCACAGTTCAAATGCCTCTAATTTTTTGATATCAATCTTTTTTAACGTCCATGACTCCATTCCGTAAAACAGCACAGAAAGTACGTAACATCTCATCAGGCGAAGTTTTCATTTCAAGGCTCAAATCTCTTCCGCAGAACACTCTCTTCATTTTAGTGAAGTGCTCCAGTGAAGCAATCTTTTTACGTATTTGCTGCTCCAGTGAAGCCGCGTCGATAACAACCGAAACACTGGCAGCGGCAGTGTTCCCAAACGTAAAAAAATAAAATCGGTAGAATTCTTTTAAAAAATCGGTACATTGTGGAGTAAAATCGGTACATCTGTCAAAATATAATATTTTGTTTAAATTTCTTAATGTTTTGCAATTCGTTTATTTAAGAAAAAATAAAATATGTCTATTCATTTTAATCTAATAAAATAAAACATGAGAACCGAGATACTGAACTGAAAACGAGAAGGTTGGCACTAACTGACACGTGACACACACGTTGGCACTTATCTGGTAGTAACATGGAACATTAATAATAATAACAAAGCGGGAAATACAAGGCTTCTCTCTGTTGTCACATTTATATTGGGTACATCATCGAGCAATAAGACAAAAGAGGGAATCTAATCGTTATAAAAAGGAGACCAAAAAAGTGGCCTCTGATGGCGGACACATCCGGAAATGCAAAGGCGCTAAATTTAAATTTTCCAACATTTGTTAACAATAGCTATAAAATATTTTTCAGACTAGAAAGTTTTAATTAAATATTAACGATAATAGTCTAAAAAGTGACATAATTGGTAAAAAACTTCAATATAAATAAAATTTCATGTGACAGTTGGGACAAACAATAACATAACCAAACTAAATTTGACTTCTTAAACAAGGAAAGAGACTGTCTATCCTTGTCTAAAGTGGCCTCTCAAGATGGCATTTCCTGTCTATCAATATGTTTACCCCTTCTACCTTTACATTCCCTCTTTTGTCTTATTGCTCGATGGGGTACATATACTACATATTTATATTATAAGGGATTGGTCAGGATTATACTAAGTATAAGTAGACGAGAGAAAAAAAAAGAGGACTTAAAAACTTTATTTGTCATGTTCATTTTAAACCATGTAATATAATTCTCAAATCATATAATATAATCTCAAACTAAATGAAACATTGAAATAACAGTCAAACAAATAAAAACATTTTAATAAGTAACAGAAGATATTAGATCTTAAACAAATCAGACACTTATTCTCTAAAACAATCAACACTTATTAAGAAAAAAAAAATATAAATATAAACTCAAACTGATTAAAATCTAAACTCTTAACTGATTAATTCCTATAAAGATGATTAGGTGATTATAACAAAGGAGCTTTTCATTAAAAACAGAGAAATCGAGTTATTAACTTAAAAAACATAAAATGAAAAATGATTACTAAAGCCTATTCATTTTCTTTTTCATACCAACGATCTTTTGATATTTTGGACATTAGTGATTTTCCAATTTCAAAATTGGAACAGGTATTTTCTCCTTCTCCAGCTATATATCTTTTAGCGTGTAAAATACCTGTTATTGTTTCCGTTGATAACCGATTTCTCTGTTTGGTTTTAAGTATGTTCACGGTAGAAAATATTCGCTCAACATTTGCTGAGGACTGTGGCAAAGATAGAAGGTTGAAAATAAAACTTGTTAAGTGAGAAAACGTTGGTGTTCCGTCGCCATTTTTAAATTTCGTAACATCCTTCCAAAACTGTTCTACATTTTCATCTAAATCTTTTATTTCTTCCGTATTTCGCAATAGACGCCACTCAGTGTCAATTGCCTGCATTGGAATATTGGTCGAGGTCGAGGATGGGACTAATCCAGGGAATAAGTCACACATATGCGCAATAGATGAAATTTCACCAGATTTAACTTTTGCAGGATCTATAATAGACATTTCTTTTAGCTTATTGCTTTCTAAGGGCATTCTTTTAACAATTTGGTTGCAACTTTCAATGTAAAAGTCAAGACATCTCAATTGAAATAAATGTTTTTGCTCTGGAGTTAAATCTGTATGGTTATGAAAAATATTTTGTACCCTCGCGCCATAATATATTTGTTCAAGATCTAAATAATTTATAGGATTTATAAAATCAATGTTTTCGATTGACTTGTCCAAAATACATTCTCTTTTTAAAAAACAGTCGAACAGTGTTCTTAAAGTTGAACAGATTTTGGAATACACTAAATGGATTTTAGGCGACTGTGATTGCATTTCTTTATTTATGTTATTAAATAAGGGTAATACGAAATCTAAAAATGACAGAAATAAAAGAGTAGTAACATCATTAAGTTTAACTAAGATATTTTCAGCTGCAAGTAGTTCCTTATTCTGAACAGCATCTGTGAAAAATAACTTCAGCGCATTATATTGTTCCAATATACGCGATATTGCAGCATGTACGGAAAGCCAGCGAGTTTGGGACGGATGTAATATTCTATGAAATTTAACATTACAGAATGATTGAAATTCTCTATATTCAGAAATGCGTTTAGGACTTGAAGAAAAATAATTATGAATATCTCGCACTAAGTCCTCAACAAATCTTGGCAATTTTTCGCAGGCGTAAGATGCACACAAGTGGTACGAATGACATATACATTTCATAATAAAAATTTCAGGTATTTCATTTTTTAATAGAGTCATGAAAGAATGTTTAGAACCCATCATAACATTAGCTCCATCAGATGCAAAACCAATGAGATTATCCTTGTAAGGGATATTATGTTCAGCAAAAAAACTTAGCACAGCTTGAAAAAGAGTATTTGCATCTGCTGAGGCTAGTGGTATGAGAGACAGAAAGGAATCTTGAATAACATAGTTTTTTTCATACCTTACGACTAAACATAAATGCTTCGTGGTGGAAAGATCAGTCGATTCATCTATTATTAGAGAAAATTTTTTTCGTCGTAAATCTTCACATAAAATTTCAAAACTATCTTCTCCTATTACTTTCTCGATTATGTTCTGGCTTTTTGTCCTAGCACATTTCAACTCCTTAATAACATCTGGATTAATGGTTTTCAAGAGATCGGGTAAATGATCCATAATTGTAAATGGTAGATTATGCTCTACAAGGAAAGCGCATAATCTGATTTCAGCTGAAATTTTTTTTAAATATAACAAACTGAAAATTCAAATATATAAACGTTTTATGACTTACCTTTTCTTTGATCTTCAGATTTATTAGTAATACGATCAAATTGCAATTTTGGTTGGGATTTCATGGCTTTAGCCTTGTCCATATGAATTTTGCTATTAGCATGTTTATCAACAGCATCAGTGCCAGAACTAACATTTATATGTTTAGCACAACAAGAGCAAAATGCAAAATTAACCCCTTTGCTACTTTGTTTTATCCACCCAGAATATTTCAAATTTTTCTCCCATTGCTTTTTGTATGTCTGCATGTATTTTCTTCTTTTTAAAGAACTGCTACTTGTTTCACCTAGGTTTGAATTACTTTCAGAACTTGACGACATTATTGTTACACGTACAATAAAAAAATTAAGGTACTAATATAATAACACGACGTTACAACTTCACAACCCCAACTGACTGAAATTTAAATCTTTTCTTTAACTCAGATAATGCCTAACGTGTACAATAAATTGTACACCACAAATATCTTTTAATTTAATTATCTATAAGGATCATATTTCTTGATAACGGCCTAAATACTTTCAGTAATCAACTTTTAGTAATCAACAATACAGTGCAGTTATGAATTGCTGGCTTTGAAATATTTGGCGATAATATTGTGATAAAGTTTAGTTTGTATAACATGTATTATTAGCTTTTATGACATCATGTACTTTGTAAAGTACCGCTTAGGTATCATATTTAAGAATACATTTTTGAATGTT